CCGTTCCCCCCGCCCCGGCCCCTGCTGCGCTCTCCTGCTGAACTCGGGTTTGACCAAAGCAAACCTGCGAACCAGACGGAAACAAATTGTTTAATTTATCACCCTTTGAAAATTCTTGCCATAGAAATAAAAGAAACGCTTGACTCACTCGCGTGAGTGAGTCGGACTCTTTCAGTTGCAAGTGGCGAAACCAGCTCAACGCCAGCTGAAGCCCGAAGGGATTTATTACCCCAACAGTACCAGGCGGGGGGAACGGGGACGCCCCAACAGTACCAGGCGGGGGGAACGGGGACGCCCCAACAGTACCAGGCGGGGGAACAGGGACGCCCCAACAGTACCAGGCGGGGGAACGGGGACGCCCCAACAGTACCAGGCGGGGGAACGGGGACGCCCCAACAGTACCAGGCGGGGGAACGGGGACGCCCCAACAGTACCAGGCGGGGGGAACGGGGACGCCCCAACAGTACTAGGCAGGGGGAACGGGGACACCCCAACAGTACCAGGCAGGGGAACTGGGACACCCCAACAGTACCAGGCGGGGGAACGGGGATGCTCCAACAGTACCAGGCGGGGGGAACGGGGATGCCCCAACAGTACCAGGCGGGGGGGAACAGGGACACCCCAACAGTACTAGGCGGGGGGAACGGGGACGCCCCAACAGTACTAGGCAGGGGGAACGGGGACACCCCAACAGTACCAGGCAGGGGAACTGGGACGCCCCAACAGTACCAGGTGGGGGAACAGGGATGCCCCAACAGTACCAGGCGGGGGAATGGGGATGCCCCAACAGTACCAGGCTTCGGTTGTGCCAGAAGCTGATGTTGACCGGGTCCGCCAGGTCACTCACGCGTCCGTGGCTCAGCCGGGCCCCCAGGACGTAGTCATTGAGCAGAGACGAGTTCTCGTCATCCTGGAAGGGCGGCAGGAGAAGGACTGAGAGGAGGGGACACGGGGAGACCCTGCATGAGGTCCGAGCGCCTCCTCGCAGGGTGCAGGGCGAGGACGGGCAGCGTGACTTCCATGCGGGCAGCGTGGCCGGCCACCCTGCCTCTGCTCACCGGCCCGATTCCGTCCCCCACGGGCTTAGTGCGTCCCAGCCTCGCGCCCTCACCCCCACCATCCTCACTCACTGTCAGAGCCATGGTTGAAAGGCGCCGCCTCCAGCAGCCCCCTAGGACTGCGCACTGGGAACGGCCCGCCCCGCCCTGACTCTGCGTGTCTGTCTCTACCGCTGTGATCGGCCTTGCACTAACGCTAAATCTCTGAGGTCCCTGTCCAGGCATCGAGAGAGAAAGTTCTCTGAGGGCAGGGACCTTGTGCCTGCTCGGCTGTCTCCCGCTAGGGACGAGCACACGGTAGGTTTGTTAGATGGCATTTGCAGACTGCAATTGTACCTTCCTACCATGCTGCTGAGGCTGGTAGGGAAACTGAGGCCAGAGAGGCACGATGGTGGCTCGGACTGTGCAGTGGGCTGGTCCCCACACAGAGGCCAGGCGGTGGCACGGACGGTGCCTGCAGTGCCCCAAGAAGGGGCCGGCGCCCACCCTCCTGGCCCCACCGCGCTGACCTTGAAAAAGGTGTCTGTGAAGAAGTAGACGCAGACGAGCCGCAGCTCCCTGGGGCGGGTCCTGCAGGCGTCCCGGGTCAGCTCGGCGGGGAACTGCATGGCGTGGTGGCCCCCGGCCTGCCAGGGCCGCGGACGGGCTGGGGCTGGTGTCCAAGGCCGCAGACCCCGCCCAGCGCCTTCTGCCCCCTGCCCAGAAACCTTCCCGCCCTCACCCTGGGCAGGTGGAGCCTCCCAGCCTCGAGCCTCCAGCCTCCCCCCAGGCCGGCCTCCTCCCCCGCTCCCCACGTGCCAGGCCTTCCCTGCGTGCCGCTCCTGTCCTGAATGTGGGGTGTCTACCCCACCCGACCAGCCCCTCCCCAGGAGGGAGCCATCTCAGCGCCCAGCACCTGCCCGGGGCCCTAGAAGGAGCCGGACTCCCTGGTCTCGCCCACCGCCTCCCCCAGGAAGCTGCTCCGGCCAAAGCAGGAGAGAGACTCTGTCCCCGCGGGCCACACAGCCCCTGGCGTTCTGCCGGTCACGCAGGCAACTCACAGCCCAGCTTGGGGGTACGGGGAGGGGGCCCCAGAGCCTGAGGAAAGGCCAGACCTGGTGGGATGGAGGCAGCTGGCCCCCACCCCCGCCCCACCCCCGCCCCACCCCCAGCCGCCCGGCCTGGGCCTCTGACCTGGGGAAGCGGCTTCAGAGCGGCGGCGGCGCTGCCCAGCGAGAGCCCCGCGAAGTCGCAGCCCAGCTGGAAGGCCAGGGACTGGATGGAGCGCGTCCGCAAGGTCAGGTTGGGGCCGCCCAGGCTGGCGTTCAGCAGCATCTGCTCCAGGACGTGGACCTGCCTGCGGGCCAGAGGAAAGATGGCTAGGTAGCCAGCGCAGAGCCAGGGGAGGGGACTCTGGACAGCCCGGGAGGGCGGGGCCCCCATCCCACACCCCGCCACTCCCAGCTCCGGACCTTTGCACACGCACTGTGCCTGGCCCTCTTACCTCCCCATCCCACCCCCTCCATCCCCTTCTTCCAATTAACCGTTGTTTAGGTCCCAGTCTGTTGTCACCTCCTCCGGGAAGCTTTCCATGACTGCTCCTCCCAACTGAGTGAAGCGTATCTGTGCTTCCCAGTTGCGGTTCTTAGCCCTGACCAGGGTCGCAGGCCCTGGAGAGCCCAGCCAGACTCTCAGAGCCCTTCCCAGGAAAATGCACAGAGACCCACGATCCTGCACCTGGCTTCACGGCATCCGTGACCAGGGGCCCCCACCCTAGACGGCACGCTCCATGAGCGCAGTGACCGGTGCATCCTGCATCTCGAGCGCCCCGTGCCGGGGATGCAGTAGGGACTCGAGAAACACGTGCCGAAAAATGAACGGTTGGGAGTCTACACTGGACCAGCCTGGACCACTGGCTCAGGGCGCAGGCTCGGGTGGGAGGCACAGCTGGCCCCGAGCAGGAGGGGACGTCGCCGACTCACTGAGCGAGAGAGGGCATGGCGCTGCGGCCCCTGGGCGGCTCCTCCATCTTCTCCATCCAGCGGAGAAGCATCTGGGACGACTCTGTGAGAGCAAGAGTCACAGCCCCCCTCAGCTGTGCCCGCCCGGGCCTCTGCGACTGCGAGTTCACCAGCCGTTCCAGTGTCCCCTTCCCATGTCCCTTGCCTGGAAGCCTCCGCCTTGCGGATGCCCCCGCCCCCGGGGCAGCAGAGCCCTCTTACCTGCCGTCACGCCCTGAAAAGTCAGCAGGCACAGGCAGAGGCAAAGGGCGCCCCAGCGACCCATGCCCTGGGCCCGGGTCTCCTCCGAGGACTGGCTGCTGCCTGCAAAAGGCACGGGCCGTCACCCTGGCGGTAAAAGAGCCACCTCCAACTTCTAGGCATCGGCATGTCCCAAGGGTAGGACATGCGGCCTTGTTTGATCCCCACCACTCCTGCCTTTCACAGAGGAGGAAACTGAGGCTCCAAGGGCAAAGGGTCTTGCTTTGCTGGAAGCTGCCTGAAGCCAGGTCTCGGTGACTCCAGAACCCTCCACCGTGGGGTAACGGGGCCATCAGCAGCTCTGCCTGAGACGCTCCCCCTCCCAGAAAGCGGTCCCTGTGGGGGCTCCCCCAGGGCCCTGGCCTTACCCAGGGGACGCTGCCTGGGGGCAAGCAACATGTGACCCCGTCCAGCCCTGTCATTAACTCTCCATGTGGTTCTAGGTAAAAGTTTGTTTCTCTCCGCCCTCATTTTTCTTGGTTTCAAAGTGAACTAATAAACTTCTACCTAAATGCAGCAAATGTATGTCTGCCCCCCAGAAGCCACACTACAATGAGAAGGGATGGATAAAATAGGCTCGGAGCCACACAGACAGTGCAATGGGAAAGGAGACCGGAGATGGGAGGGAGACCGCAGCAAAACTTCGGAAGCTACGAAGCAGGTGGCCCCCTGGTAATAAATTTACCAGGCCATGAAAAGTTGAACCCAAGTGCCCACAGTGGGGACAGGTGTGGAGTCAAGGGGGAGGAGGGTGGGGACAAGGAGAAGGCTCATAGGCTTGGAAGCACCCGAGACCTGGAGGCATCAGGACCCTCTGAAGAGCGGATGAAGGATGAGGCCAAGAAACACAGGATTGTTGGCGGTGAGTGTTTAAAATGTCCAACTCGGTCCCCAGATCTCCCCTGTCACCAGGGTGTTCAGGAGCCTCCTCACCACCCTGCCATCCCCAACCCTGCTGCAACACAAAGTTCACTCCCTGCAGAAGGTGCACCACAGACAAGTGGGGTGGGGGGGATTAAGCGATATCCCCTCCCCACTTCCTCCTCTACTCAGCTTCCAGCAGGCTGCAGCAGCCAGTTATGCTGCAAGACAGGAGAAAATTCTTCTCTGAAGAACTGAGATCGTTCCAAGAAAAGTATTCCTATAGCTAGTGACATTCTGATGTTCCTCAACATAATGGCCAAGACCTAACTCACAGTCAAGCTTCACCAAACCCCACCAAGCAATTAAGTTTTCAGTGCTCTTCTCTTAAAGATGAATGGTCAGCCAAGGATTACAGGGTATTGTAAAACATGCACCCCTTTCTCAGAAAACTACTGCAGGATGTGCTCCAACAAAATGAGGCAGTAAATTGTGAAAGAAGACACAGAGTACAGGAAACCACACCAGGGGAGAGGTGAAGCCACTCCCCAGAAAATGTGTGAAGAAAAGGCTAAAGTTAATGGTTGAACAGCAAGACTAGGCACTTCCCATCCAGAGGGAGCAGAAGAGAAAGCTCTGGAACGAAGCTCTTGATGACAAAAAGAAAGAGGAGGAAAAGGAGAATATATACACTGACAGGTTTGAGCACTTGGAAAAATTATTTTCAAAGATATCTTATAAAAAGCTTGCAAATAAAAAAGAAGCAAGCTAATTTCAAGATAATCAAGTTGTATAAGAAAGAAAATGTCATCTTCCTACACTACCTGATTTAATATGGAATAAAATTTATGTAGTCATAACAGAAACATTAAACAAGAGATTTATTTTTGAAATTGTGTAAAAACCATATTCAAATGATTTTGACTTCCACTTAGAATGTCGAAAGCCACAAGGGAACATCAGTCCCTTCATGACAATGGAAAAAGCCAAATAATGTACAAAATCAATTTTTTGAAGCCATGGGAGAGCTGAAGTCACAAGGTAACCAAGTAAACTTGTTTCTAATGGCAATTGGAACACACTGCCTTTGATAGATGAAACATATGATATGTTTCACCTTTGACCCAGCATGGAGGAGTAAGTAGTTGCCACAAAAATAGATAAGAAGATCCTAGCACTCTGGGAGGCGGAGGCGGGTGGATCATTTGAGCTCAGGAATTTGAGACCAGGCCAGGATCAGAGGCTCATGCCTCTCATACTAGCACTCTGGGAGGCTGAGGCAGGCCCATGGCTCAAGGTCAGGAGTTCGAAACCAGCCTGAGCAAGAGCGAGACCCCGTCTCTACTATAAATAGAAAGAAATTAATTGGCCAACTAAAAATATATAGAAAATATTAGCCGGGCATGGTGGTGCATGCCTGTGATCCTAGCTACTTGGGAGGCTGAGGCAGAAGGATCCCTTGAGCCCAGGAGTTTGAGGTTGCTGTGAGTGAGGCTGATGCCACGGCACTCTAGCCCGGGCAACAGAGTGAGACTCTGTCTAAAAAAAAAAAATAGATAAGAAGAAAACAACTGATATCTTAATGAATTCTTAATGACTGAACATGAGCTAGAGTGGCAGTTCAGAATCCCTGGGAGCTCGTACCCACCAGACAGATTCTTCCCACAGTGCTCCATGGGGTGCTCATGAGAATGACTGGGGCAGGGCAGGATGGGAGAGAGTCCCATGGTGAAACAGGCATGCCAGACCTGCCATGGTTTCAGGGTGCAACAGGAGTACCTGGAGAAGCCTGTCTGAGCTCTGGGTGCCCCATAAGGACAAGGTGGTAATTGGCTCCTGCTGAAAGATTGATACCTGCCTCCTGGCCTCACTTTGATGTGACACCTCCATCCCTCCATCTCTCCATCCCTCCATCCCTCCATCCCTGACCTGCTACCAGGCAAAGGTCTATTGCCTCTGGCGGAGGAACAGAAAACCGTCCCAGCCCAGCCTTGCACTAATATTAAGCAAAAGCCAACTGACACTGGCAACGAACAGGAAATCCACAAATGCCCAGGATCCCACATTGATATACGGTGGAGGGCAGTGGCTGCTGCTGCTGGGAGAAGAACAGAAACCTCACTCCCACTCAGACCCCCCCATCAATAAGGCAGAGCTTGGCTCCCACGGGGTGGGGGTGGGGCGAAGGACAAGATGTCTGCCTGCACTCTTGCCCCTGCACTGAATGGGAGGTAGAGACCATCAGAAACTGGAAGAGAAACAGGAGCACGAAGAAATCCCCACTCCTGCGGCTCTTGCTCAGGACTTCTTCAGATGAGCAAGGAGTTAGAGAACTCACTGCCACCAGACCTGCACTGAAAGAAATGGCAAAGGAAGTTCTTAGGGCAGAAGAAAAGTTATGCCAAATGGAAATTTGGATTTACACAAAGAAATGAAGAGTATTGGCATTTGTAAAAAATGTGTCAAATATAAAAATTAATTTCCTTAGTTTTAATTAATATCTATCTAATGTAAAAACAGTAACGATGTTTTGTGGGGATCATGATATATGTGGAAGTAAAAATGTAACACAAAAATAACACAAAGGGCAGGAGGGAGGAAATGGACATATTTAGTTGTAAAGTTCTTACACTCTATTTTAAGTGTTGTAGTATCATTTGAAGGTCAATTGTGGAAAGTTAAATATGTATATTGTAAAACCATTCCTGGCTATTTGTAAGGTCGAGGCAGGAGGATCGCGTGAGTCCAGGAATTCAAGGTTATAATGAGCTGTAATCTCATTCTAGTAGAGAGAAAAAAGTGGGATAGGAAAAACAAACAAATAAAACTTTTTTAAAAGGGGAGGGCAAGGAAAGAGGAAAAAAAAAATGTGGGGACTAATAGAAATCTAAGAGCAAGACAGTACTAACATATCCAAATATATCAATAATTATAGTAAATATAAATGGACTAAACTGACCACAGAGAATTAAATGAGATATCAAAAGCATAAAGATGCCTAGAAAATCCCCCAAAGATTTGGTAATTAAACAATACACTATTAAGTAACCCATGAGTCAAAGACAAAATCACAAGGGAAATTATAAAATATTTTCAACTGAATAAAAATGAAAATACAACACAATAACATTTGTGGGGATGCAGCTAAAGCAATGCTTAGAGGAAAATTCATAGCATGAAATGCTTATATTGGGAAAGATAAATGATTTCAAGTCAATAATCTCAGCTTCCCCACATTAACAATATAAAAGAAGAGAAAATTAAGCCCAAAATAAACAGAATGAAGAAAATAATAAAGAGAAGAGTATAAATCAATGAAATAGAAAAGGAGTAGAAGAAAATCAATGAAACCAAAATCTGGTTTACTTGAAAACCTTAATGATATTGATAAATCTCTAGCCAGAATGATCAAGGAAAAAAAGAAGGCAATTACCAATATCAGCAATAAAAGAAGGGATATCACTATAGAATCTACAGACATTAAAAAGATAAGGGGGCGGGCGTGGTGGCTCACGCCTGTAGTCCTAGCACTCTGGGAGCAAGACGGGCGGATAGCTCGAGGTCAGGAGTTCGAAACCAGCCTGAGCAAGAGCGAGACCCTGTCTCTACTATAAATAGAAAGAAATTAATTGGCCACCTAATATATATATATAGAAAATGAGCGGCATGGTGGCACATGCCTGTATCCCAGCTACTCAGGAGGCTGAGGCAGGAGGATCGCTTGAGCCCAGGAGTTTGAGGTTGCTGTGAGCTAGGCTGACACCACAGCACTCACTCTAGCCTGGGCAACAAAGCGAGACTCTGTCTCAAAAAAAAAAAAAAAAAATGATAAGGTAATATTAACAGTTTATGCCAACAAATTATCCCATTTCATCTAAATTGTATAATTTCATGAAGACACAAACTGCCAAAGCTTACTCAAGAAAAAATGGATAATAGAAATAGCCCTTAATGTATTAAAGGAATTAAGTTTAAATATTAAAAACCTTTCTGCAAAAAAAATAGGCCCAGATGGCTTCCCTGGTTAATTCTTCCAAACATTTAATAAGTGATAATTCGCTTGAGCCCAGGAGTTTGAGGTTGCTGTGAGCTAGACTGATGCCACTGTATTCTAGCCAGGGTGACAGAGCAAGACTCTGTCTTAAAAAAAAAAAAAAGATTTATGTTACATCTATTCTGCCTGTGCTCTATAAGTGGAAAAA